GGGGTTGGGGCCGTCCGGTTGGGGGGGGGTTCCCCCCTGCCAATGGCAGGGGGTTGGAACTGGATAAGCTTCAAGGTCCCTTCCAACCCTAACCATGTTGGGATTCCACAAGGATATAGATGTAAAGAGGAGGACATGGCTGTGTCTGTCCTGAATCGGTGTCACTGCAGTTTTTCTGTCTCTGCCTTTCAACAGAGCACTGATCTGGAACACAGTCTGAAAAACCCTACAATCTCCACATCCCTGAAGATCAAGTTTGTCACTCTGTTTAGAAATGTTGACTAAGTTGTAGAACTACCCAGAACATACCATTAGAGTGCTTACGTGAAGGACGTCTGTGTATTACACATCGTGTTTGAACACCTCTTTGTGTACCTCTTGAAGAAGGGTAGAATGTGACAGTCGGTTTAGCCATGAGGGTATCAGTTCCAGGCCACAGAAGCATCTCTGAGAGAAGAGCCATTTGTTGGGGTTAAATTCCCTGCCTTACTCTTCTGTTCTTCTTCCAAAGAGCGGAATGTGACTCTGCCAACAACGGCATCGATTTACATCTCCACTTGAGCTCGTGTTATACATTTCACAACGGTGCTTTGCACCCTGCACTTACTTGGAAAGAGAGTGTTGTGGATTTGACTATTGACAGAAGGAAAACACTAGGAGATCTCCGGCAATCAGTATTCCAGGTATTTGCTGTATTAAATGAACTCAAATCCTTAGTTTTCGCTTGGGCCATGATTTTATCTCATTGGGAATTGAGAGACCTCACTTGGAGTATTGTGTACAGTTCTGGTGTCCTCAGTATAAGAAGGATGTGGAGCTGTTGGAGCACGTCCAGAGCAGGCCACAAGGGTGATCAGGGGCTGGAGCTGCTCCCGTGTGGAGACAGGCTGAGAACATTGGGGTGTTCAGCCTGGGGAAGAGAAGCTGAGTGAGACCTCAGAGCAGCTTCCAGTGTCTGAAGGGGGCTACAGGGATGCTGGAGAGGGACCTTCATCAGGGGCTGGAGTGATAGGACAAGGGGTGATGGGTTCAGGCTGAACCAGGGGAAGTTCAGGTTAGATCTAAGGCAGAAGCTGTTCCCTGTGAGGGTGCTGAGGCGCTGGCACAGGGTGCCCAGAGAAGCTGTGGCTGCCCCATCCCTGGCAGTGTTCAAGGCCAGGTTGGACACAGGGGCTTGGGGCAACCTGCTCTAGTGGAAGGTGGCCCTGCCTGTGGCAAGGGTTGGAAGTGGATGATGTTAAGGTCCTTTCCAACCCAAACCATTCTATGATTCAAAGTTTTTAATAGTAAAGGTAGTTTGAGGGGACTAAAAGCCCCTGTGGGTTTATGCAGATGGAAACATTGGTTTGAGGTGTGTTCTTGAAATGTTGAGGAAGGCATGAAATTCATGAAACTTTGACTATGTGGACTTTAAAGCTCTAATAATGATTTATATTTGGGCCACATGAGCATGAACTGACACTTTACATGCTTATTCTGGACATTTCAGGTTGACAGGTTTATCTTTGGCTTTTCAAGGAGCCAGCTGGCCTTAAGAGGAAGTAACCAAGAGTAGTTTAAGAAAACAGAAAATGAGTTAAAAGCAATATGTACCTATTGAATGTGGTGTCTTTGCATTTATTCTCTGGAATATGATAATTCATAAAATGCTTTTTCATAGATATCTCCATCAAAGCTAAGTTGGTGTCAGGAAGGACTGATTGCTTTCCTTGTACCTCCCAATCTGGTTAATGTCCACTTCAGACTTCACTTTGGTCTCTCTGGTGACAGGTCTGGAAGGCCAAGTCCTAAATGCTTGACTGTTTCCTGCATTCCTGGCCCAGTTGAGATAAATCTCTGTGACTTGTTACTCGTCACCCCGTGAGCTTGGTAGCCAGGCTGCAGCAGTGCTCAGTGGAGTAGTAATGCTGAGTGCTGTGAGTTACTGCTTGCTGCTGGTTTAAGTCTGTGACTGTTTTTATTCTTCCTAATTAGATGTTGGAATCTTGGGAAGGAGACATGATTCTCAGTATTGCCAAGCCTTTACCAGCAGGACTGCACCTTTACCAGATACTAAATGGTAAGACTACTACAGACAAGGCTCCCATGTTACTTACATGCTGTATTTCTGCAGACATTGAGCATTTCATGTGTAAAACAGCTTGGAGATGTGTATTAGTGGACACTGAGTCTACAAACTCTAACTTAGGTGCAAGTCCACTGCAGTTATATTATTTAGGACACTCTTGTTAGTGAAATGAAGGGGTTTGAGACTTGGTTGTATGTAGTCTTTGTTGTGAAGTACAGTAAGACTGCAGATCTTACGCAAGTTAAACATACTGGCTGACAAAAATAGCAGTTACGTATTTTGACCTTGATTTGCTTATGAATGTTTGCTTTCATAGTATTTACTTAGTAGGTATTTACCTAGTAGGTAAATACTCCACCTAGTAGGTGGAGAAGATTAAAGAGGAGCCAGGGTGACATCAAAGATAAGCGTAGGTTAGACTTAACTGAAGTAGCAATTCTGTAAAGGAACATGCTTACATGAAGAGTACATTATTGAGCAGTTAGGATTTTGAAAAGCACGAGTTCTGCCTCTGGTTTTGCACTGTTATGCAATTCCAAGGGTTTGTCTTCAAAAGCCATTTTAAGATTTCATAGTCTTTGTGGTCTGCTTCAGAAAATGAGGGTTCTGCCAGCACATAACCCACCTTCCCATGATGGACTTCAAAATATAGAAGCACTTAGAGCTGCTGTCAGTATTTCTCCATGTGCTAGTATGGTTCTTTAAATGACAACCTGAGTCTGACTTCACCTCTTTACTTGGTGAGAATGCTCTAGGGGTGTTTACCTGCTTGTGGAGCCCTTGCTACATGAATGAACTTTCACTTAGCCACCATAAATTCTGACCACACAAGCTTTTGTACTGAAAACACTTGAGCCAGAGTAGAATGTGCCACTATATTTCAGTTCACCAGCTGACCCTACTGGTCTGTTTTGTGGGGGGCAAGAACTTGATGATTTGCTTCTTTTTAGGAGATGAGCTGACATTGGATGGCATTGGGCTGGCTGATGGAGCAGATGTCTTTGTGTGGAATGGGAAAGAGGTAGAAGAACCAAATACCCCCTCTGCTTATCTGTTCTGAAGAGATAAGATGTAAATACCCACTGCCAGTTACATCAGAGGACGTTCTGAGAACATCTGGTGCCTCTTGGATGGAGATTAGTTGGATGGTTGATAGTAATGCAATAACAAAAACTTACGCCCTGTAGTGAATTCTTTACTATGGGGTGCTGAGGCGCTGGCACAGGGTGCCCAGAGAAGCTGTGGCTGCCCCATCCCTGGCAGTGTTCAAGGCCAGGTTGGACACAGGGGCTTGGAGCAACCTGCTCTGGTGAAAGGTGTCCCTGCCTGTGGCAGGGGTTGGAGCTGGAGGAGCTTTGAGGTCCCTTCCAACACAAACCAGGCTGGGATTCTGTTGTTTCACATATAAAATGAGACCTCTCAATGATTACTTCTGTATGATCTCTCTGAAATACTGCACTACTTTTCTAGGGTTGCAAATTCCTTTTAATAGTAAGGCTTCTGCTTGACTTTCAAATGCTTGTAATAGAGCATTTTATCCTATCTCTGTAAATGGGAGAAAAATGTTAGATCTAGTAAAATATTGGTTCTAGATCATGCTTTGCTGAGAAAGGTTGGACCAGATGATCCTTGAGGTCCCTTCCAGCCTGGTTTCTGTGATTCTAAAGTTCTGTGATGCTTTTAAAGGACTTCTGTTGTAGAAGTATGTGTTCTCTGTCTGTGTCCTCTTGCTGTCCAGTCTCTTCTGTGTAGTATTGATCCCCACAGCATGAGTCTTGCATTCCTTTCTTCAGGTTGGTGGCACGAAGGTGATGACCGGTCCTGATCATGAACCTGTGGTCATTAACGTTCTTCGTTTAGCGGAGTACAATGAGGGAGGGAAGGGTCAGCACTTCACAGAGTCACAGCACGTCTTTTCCTGCAGCACAAAACTGGGTGAGCTGCACAGAGCCTTAGCACCATCGGGAGGAATAATTCTAAAGAACCTCTCGGGACCAGAGAAAGAAGCTAAAAACTGGGAAGTCCTTCTGGAGGAAGACATGAACAAAACAGTGAGAAGTGTTGGTCTGACAGATGGATGCTCAGTACTCATCTTAGACAGCCATGACCAGAGGTAACCATTTGAATTGCATGTATGATTAAGGAAAACAGCAATTGTGGCAGAATCTGGTCAGTTCAAATGATGCCAGCCATGTGTATATTCTTTTACGTGTCACTTTGAGCTTTTTAGTTCAGGATACTGTACTCTTAAGTTTTGGAGATCAGGTACTTACCACCTCTTAACTATTTCTTTGCTGTTGAAGTGCAGATTCAGTCATATCCTTTGACTTACACTTGTAAAGGGGAAGACTTGGTGAGAACAACTTGTGTGCTGGCACATCTTGCCATAACCTGAATTCCTGAGGTTTGAACTGGGTGGTTGTCCAAGGGTCTTAGTGGGATGAGACAACAGAGCAGTATCAGAAGCAGCTTTGCTGAATCTCCAAGTTGAATCTAAAGATGCCCGGGCATCTGGTCTCCTTTCACTTCCCAGTGCATGATTCTTAGGTTAATTCCCATTGTCAGAGATGTGTGTATGTGCTTGCTACATAAATTCTGACTTTCTAGTTGGAACAGTACTGAACAATGGAGATTAAATCAAGCAGTGAGAGGTTGACCCTTCAGCTTTTGGAGCTGGGATGCAGAGGATCCAAGACTGGCTCTTTGAGCTGCTTTGGAAGTGATGGCACTGAAGCACACCCCTCCTGGCACCCTGGTTAGGTGACTTAGACTCTAAAGAACCTTCAGATATCAAGTTCCATTGAAAGCCACTTATCAGAACAGTGTTAGCTAGTTGAGTCAATCCAGCCCAGAGGTGCCTGGATGCTGCCTGAGGCCTCTGACTCCTACTCTGTGAATGCCATTGCTGTTACTGACTTGGGTTTATTTGGGAGCTTTGCTATTCAGTGATCTAGCCCAGAAAACAGGTGGATTTCCTATCTTTCGCCATCTTTGTCCTGCTCATGTTTTACAGCTTCGTGAACGTGTCAAGTGGCAATTTGACTGCTTTTACGTATGACATCAGCTGGCTCCAAGTGAAAAACTTCTGCAGAACAGGAGATGAAGAGAAACACGTTAAAATTACTGCCACTATAGAAACGGTAAGGAGGCACATTGGTCAGGGATGTAACAGGCTGTTTCCCAGGAAAACTTGGCCAGTGTATGTGGGCCAATTGAGGACGAGGGGATTTAATCTCAGGGCTGGGGTTTTTCTGTAACGAAAATCACAGAGTCAGCCAGGCTGGAAAAGACCTTTAAGCTCATCCAGTCCAACCATTCCCAGCCCTGCCAAGGCCACCACTAACCCCTGGCACTGAGGCCTCGGCTACCCGGGCTGTGAACACTCGCAGGGACAGTGACTCCAGCCCTGCCCTGGGCAGCCTGTTCCAATGCCTGAGCACCCTCTGGGCAAGGAATTGTTCCTCAGCTCCAGCTAAAC